TTTAATTGTGCCTTAAACATTAGTTGGTCCTAAATCCATTTTTATTGTAAACTAACTCGTATGTGTCTCTGCAGCTGTTTGTCAATGAAGTCCTTGAAACCATCGAGCTTGATGGAATCAAGGATGCCTTAGTTGGCATGCCTGGTGTTAGTGGTCTATCAATTGAGCAACGGAAGAGGCTAACAATAGCAGTGGAGCTTGTTGCCAACCCCTCTATTATCTTCTTGGATGAACCAACAACTGGTTTGGATGCTAGAGCAGCAGCAATTGTAATGCGAGCTGTGAAGAATGTAGCTGATACAGGAAGAACAATTGTTTGCACTATCCACCAACCAAGTATCGAAATATTTGAAACATTTGATGAGGTAAAACTTTGTTTTTTTTTTTTTTTTTTTTCACTAATGAACTCCTTGAGATAGACTGAGGGGAACATCAGCCAACATTTTCTTGTCAAATGACAAAGTTGGGAAATTGATCTCTTTGTTTATAATATTCATTGCAGTTGATTCTTTTGAAAAGAGGAGGGCATATAATCTACTCTGGACCATTAGGACAACATTCATGTAGAGTTATACAATATTTTGAGGTTAGTTTTGTCTTTAGTATTGCGCCTATTAGATTATGCATTATTCTTTAGAGAGAGGCATAATATACTACCTGCTTGTACTAGATAATTATTTGTTTAAAGTCGTCATGTTAACAGGGTGTCTTTGGGGTGCCAAAGATTACAAAAAATTATAATCCTGCAACGTGGCTGCTTAGAAGTCACTTCTCCATCTACAGAAGCTGAACTTGGTATAGATTTTGCCCAAATATACAAGGATTCTACTCTATACGAGTAAGTTCAATTGCAATATTTACTGGTTTCGGACTTACTAATTGACCACTAGGTTACTTGGTATCAGAAAAGCCATTTTAAATAGCATAGCTATTAATTAGTAATTTAAAAGGCTTCGAGGTTGACGCATCAATCATCAGTATAACCAAATACATAAAAGCAATGTTAATATACCATAGCAAGTAGAAGTAGTTCATAATTTATTAGCAGCGTGAGGTATTATTAGGACATCTTTTAGAAGCTGGTGTTAAAATGGGAAATCTGTCATGGTATAATCCCAGTATTATTTCAGTAGTTACTTAACATGGTACGAAAGTGGCTATGTTATATATACGTCTGTGTTTGTATCTGTAAATCTGTGTGTATTTGGGCTTAGTCCATTTGTTCCATCTATTTTTGTTTTTTTTTGTTTTTTTTTGTAAGTATTTTAGCTATTGTCTATCCTCTTAATAGACTAAGCTTCTGTCAGGTGATTACTTAACATATTATCAAAGCAGAGGTTCTTTTTTCTGAATCCAACTTGAGTTTAGTTCACACTGCATACATGAGAGGCCACCTTTTTAAAGAGCTTAATACACTATAGTTTAGGATCTTTTACTAGCTTAATATTTTTTAACTCAATTCTACCTTGCAGTTTATTGTTTGTGGTTTTGCATCATAGATTTAAGTTGCTATACTTAGACTGTAACAAGCAAACACTTACAAACTTTTCATTTGTAGGTATAACAACGAGCTTGTAAGAGAGTCTAGTACTCCACCTCCCGGCTCAAGGGATCTGAATTTTCCAACTCGTTTTCCACAAAGTGGTTGGAACCAATTCAGATTTTGCTTGTGGAAACAGCATTTGTCATATTGGAGAAATCCTTCTTACAACTTGTCACGTATGGTGCGCGTGGTTGTAGGATCCTTGGTTTTTGGCTTACTATTTTGGGACAAGGGAAATAAAATGTAAGTTTATTTTTCTTTTAACTTCTTTCATCTGTTTTAGATTTTTTTATTTTTTATTTTTTTTGGTTACATTTTTATGTCAATTTGGATCAGCTTGTATTAAAAAAGTGATAGCCCTGATCAAATCCTTGATATATAAGTATGCAAGATAATTTTGTAGCATGTTCAAACACACATTGCTTATATGTAGGCAACATGTTTGCATATAAGCATCAATGACTTCCAAACAATATGTATGTCTTACTTTTAGTGACAAGAAATTTAGTTTTAATTGTGCATTTAATAGTTTTGGACCATCAGTTGGTTCATTAAGCTTACGCAACTGATTATCTTTAACATTTAATTAGTTTATTGAAAATGTTGACTTCACTCATGTAGTTGTACCATGGTATGATAAAGTACAATATATGTGTCTAGATATGCCTGAAGATTTTTAACGAGTTAGAACTTTACCACGATATTGAGAAAGTTTGTTGGGACATGTTTTTGTAATGTAAAGCATGTAATATTTACAGATCATATGTTGTTACAAGTTTATTGTTCAATGTTGCAAATATAATGTCCTACATTTTGAAAGACCTATTCCAGTAACTTTATTTCACTACTATTGTAGCAAAAGCTGATTAGGAATGACCATCAAATTTGAACTTCTATTCATACCTAGATTTAACTGATCTTATGACTCTGTACATGACATATGAGTTAGTCTTTGGTAGGCTAACTTTGAATGTCTTTTTCTGTCAGCAACAATCAGCAGGATATGCTACGCATACTCGGCTCAATGTTTATTTCTGTAATATTCTTGGGCATAACTAACTGCTCCTCGGTTGCACCATCAGTTGCAACAGAGCGCACTGTTATGTATCGAGAAAGATACTCAGGAATGTACTCCTCTTTGGCTTTTGCACTAGCACAGGTAATGCGTACAAGGACATGCTTTGAGATGTTTATAGACTTGATTTTCTAGACGCTTGTAATACCATACTTTGTAATGTACAATGTCATAAGTGTCATATTGTAAGAAATTTTCTCTGAGACAGCAGATGTGCAATCGTCCAATCACAATGCGCTTGCAAGTCATGTGCAATGTCATGACATGCTGTGATTGAACGGATGCTTGTTTCCCTTCTCACTAAAGAACTTTCACATATTAAGAACATTATTAGGGAAATTTTACTGGGATTCTGATTTTGATAACGTGCATACTGGTTTTCAGGTGACTATTGAGATTCCATATGTATTTATCCAGATAGTAATTTTTATGGCCATTGCATATCCGATGATTGGATTTTCTAGGTCAGTCCATAAAGTGCTTCTGTTCTTCATTGCCATGTTCTTTACACAGCTCTACTATCTTTATTTGGGAATGCTACTTGTGGCATTGACACCTGACATTGCGCTATCCTCAATTTTCACATCGGCTGTCTACAAATTATTGAGTCTCTTCTCCGGGTATATGCTTCCTAAACAGGTACGCAACCATTCTTTATCCAAAAAGAAAAAACTGCTGAACTTATGTGCCAAGATATAATGAAAACACTGGAATGCTTAATGTATAGGGTAAATCTTATTTATCTTCTGACCCATTTGGTTCAGATAGCCAAAGATTTATCCTATATTCTATAAAAAAAAAATAATAATAAATAAATGAATTTTATCATAGGTCTCTAACAATTTGATAATCCTTATATTGTTAATAGAGATTTTTTGACAAACTTCCAAGTTTAGTGGAATCTTCTTTGTATTTTAACCCAATTTCAAGAGAGGTCAATGAAACTCGACTGTTTGGTAGATTGCAATATAGATAACCCAAATAGTAAACTAATGGTAAAAGAAAAACATGGAATGAATTGTAAACTCAAATGTCTTAGGTTCGAATTGAACCATATAAAGCACAACATTTTTCTTACCATTTTAAAAAGATAAATGAACAACTCTTAAAAGAGTGTGTAACTTACATGTTGTTTTGGTTGTGTTGCTCAATTTGCAGCAAATTCCGAAATGGTGGATATGGCTGTTTTATTTGACGCCTACAGCCTGGACACTAAATGTTTTGCTCACTTCGCAATATGGGGATGTCAAAAAGGACATTGTTGCTTTTGGAGAAACCAAAAAAATTCCTGCCTTCTTAGAAGATTACTTTGGGTTTCACTTTGATCAGTTAGTTGTTTCAACAATTATTGTTATGCTTTATCCCATTGTTCTTGCTTCACTTTTCACATATTTCATTGGACGGTTGAACTTTCAGCGAAGGTGAATCTACCTTTGCCATAGATGAAATAGTTGCACAGAACTAATAAGCTATGAATTTGTACTGTGATATTACAAGGTTCAATAGTTATATTATAACTTTTACCATAAAAGCTTTGTTGTAAATTCATCAATTTTGTTTTTCACATAGTATTATGTTGTTAGCTTTTAGTCTATTTTGTATGGTTTTGTTTTGAGATCACCTAAATGTTCCAATACTTATCATAGGCTTGTGTTTTCTTTCCTACAGCCAAAACCTTGAGGTGAGGTTGGATCAAGTCCTCGTTTGTTTCTCATTAAAACAAAAGTGTTTTACTTGACATAAATGTAATGATAAGAAGCTGTGGTAACATTATTTTGGTAACAATTAAGAATATTTCAGTTTCGTATATTAATATTTTAATTACGATAAACGACTCTCCAGCTACAAAATTGTAACTATACTGAATCAGTATTGTAGCTTAACCCTACAGTCAACGGCATTGTTTGCTGACTTGCCACTGCAGAAACAGTCTTAACCTACCTCTTCTCAAGCACAAACACAAACTAAAACTGAATCATCCCAAAATTCATTTGAACAGCATTGATTACTTTTCAAATTTGTTTTATTACACACTTTAATTATTCGAGTTTCGATTTGTATTCCATATCCAACATTATATTCATTCTGGACACGGAAAAATTAGCACAGGGTAGCACAGAAGCAGATCTAAAGACATCGCAAGAAAATTTATCGACTAATACAAGCAAATAGAGAGTTTAAATCATGCACTTCAGCCGCTGTTTTTCTCAGCAATCACAGCATGGATGTGGAACTCTAAAATGAATACTAAAGCAAATATCTGACAATAATTTCCGACATTAATCACAGAAACACATATTGGAGGAGAAGGACATGAAATATTTTAAGAAACAGAGTCCAAATCATTCACCTTTATAATTATACTACAAAACTGAAGATCAAAAAAAGTTTAAGGCCAATAGATGGGGAAAATGGATTGTCATCATAATTTACAAAGGTCAAACTCAGTTTGCAACAGCAAGGGAAGTACAAAACAAAGTTTATCTTATTTTCAGCAGCCGACACCGATGCTTGATACAATTAAAAATAAAAAATAAAAAAATTCACAAGGCGGTGTTTCAGAATAATCCTCTGGCAAAAACTGCTCTTGAGCTTCATTTTAGCTGCAATGCTCCTAAAGGCTACTTTTACAGAGCTAAACTAAGAAGACGAAGAAATAACGTAATGGAATTTCATTTAAAAAAAAAAAAAATCATACAGATTCCTTAGTGGAATGTAAACTCAAACTAGAAAGCCCGCTAGCTAGAGAGCTAGCCATGTCTTCTCTATCTGCAATCTGCAGATGCTTCAATACTCTCCTATATACTGAAATGTTAGGTTTAAGACCTTTCTTAATCATTTCCAAAAGAATATTCTTAGCCATGACAGCATTTCTGTTTTTATCATGCAGGCTCGCAAGCAAACTGTACATCATGTTGCTTGAATTCTTATATTTATCAGCTGAACCAACCACATACTCATGTGCCTCCTTGTATCGCTGCAAGTTGAAATAACCCTTGATAAATGCAGCATGCGCTGCAGGCCGAGGTTGAATACCTCTCCCCACCATGTCATCGAAGAACTGAGATGCAACACTAAACTTCCCAAGTCTACAAAAGTTATGTATAAAAATTTCATAGGTTACAGCATCAGGAGGGCAGTTTTTTTCTAGCATATCTTTAAACACGTTACAAGCCCCATCATCTTCACCCTTCTTAAATAAACTACTAAAGATATAATTATAACTTTGACTGTTTGGTTCACACCCTATTTGCCTCATCTCATCAAGCAAATCTCTCACTCCTTTAAAATCACATTTCCGACACATTTGCCCAATCAAAATATTGTAGTAAGAAACTTTCTTCTCGGTGTTCGTTATCACATACCGAGCCATTTCAAAGGATCCAAGAACACTGAACCCCTCAATCAATGCACGTACACCAGAAACACGACATGAGCCCCTAACTTCATTCAACACCTTAACTACTCTCCTTATATGTTTCCTAGTTGAAGCCTTACTCGAAATCATTACCGGCAAAAACCCAAATGCCTTTTCAGTTAGACAAACTTTTTTCACATTGAACTCTTCCAAAAGAGCACGCATCTCTTCGTAATCATCCAATCGCCCACAATTATCAACAACCAAACTACAAATGTCAAAATTATCATACAACTCAGGCTGCACATGTTCAATCCACTTAAAGAAACGCAATGCACGAACTTTATCACAATTCAAAACCTGAAAAATCTCAATCAAATTAGCAGTAGACAAACTGACATTCATGGAATTCAACTTGGACTCCATTTCACTATCACTATCTCTAATCAACTGAATGATCTCAGAAACTTGCTTTGGAGTCGCATATGGCCCAAACGTATCAATACCCTCATTACAAAACTGAAAATTTCTACTATAACTTACAGTTAAAGAGGATGAAATGTGTCTACAATAACTTCGAGATGTAAACAAGCGAAGTTCCAACCTTTGACTTCTACGACCATTACAGTTCTTGAAATGTGAAGACTGAGAAGATTGAGAAAATGGATGCCGAATAGAATAAATTGAAGACGACCCAGTTGAGGAAACGAAGAGATAAGAAGGATTTGAAGTGGGTTTTAAGTGGAAGTGATTATAATTCAAGATTGGAATGGGAGAGAATGTGGGAAAAACTAGGGATTTGAGATAGTTAAGACAGAAATTAGGGTTTGAAATTGAAAAGTACCTAAGCATGTTCTTCGCGGGATTTGATAAGTCCATAGTAACACAACGATGAAGATGTGCAAAATCACATTGAATGAACTTCTTTCTCACAGCGGCAAAGAGAGGGTTTCAGATGTAAATGACTTCAATTTTTTTTCCTGTTTAGGTAATAACATGGACCTCCACCGGACGTTTGAGAAAATACAAAATGCCACCTAAGGATGAGTAAATTGACCACCTGTCCCCAGTGTTGCGTGAAATTATTTTTGTAACCTTTGAATGGCTTAAATAAAATTCATTTTAAAGGATTGTCCATGAATTGTTGCCTTCGTCGTCAACATGAATGGTGTCATCACAAGGAATACTTTGTTGGTGGATAACTTATAAGGATTGATAAAAATCTAGAGGATGGAGATTTGGACAACTAGAAATGAAATCTAGAGGATGGAGATTTGGACAACTAGAAATGTCCAATACGTACTACGCTGACATGTATCCAACAAGCGGAAATAATACGTGGAGCGTCAAGATTTTGCCGATAGAAAATTGCGCAGAAGATTTAAAAGAAATCTTGACTAATTTATCATATGTAATAAAAATATGTAAAATGTAAAACATTGTGTTAAACATGGGAAACACATGGGACCCATGTCATATTTTCTTTATGCTTTTTATTTCTTTTAAGTTACGTATTAAGTTTTGTTTAGATAAAGTCAAGTCACATGTATGTTGTGATTGACATGAGGTTTGTGTAATATTTATCTTATTCACGGATTCAAAAGATTTTGAAATCCGAACTTCTCTGTATAAGGAGAAGCTTTGTACATTTGTATTCAAAGAAAGTTAATAATATTTTCAGTTTTGAAATCAGAATAATTTGATCATTTTGATGCTAATAAAGGTGATGATGCACTTTATTACTAATTCGTTGGACAATGATATTCTATTGACCCGTCATGGTTCTTACTATGATTTCGACAAGATTATAGGTAATATCTATACCATTGTGTAGACATAAAAATTCAAGTTTGTGATATTAGCTATACTATTAAGAGTTTGTTTGACCGAGTTTATGAACATACGTTATAATCGTTTTAATTTAAGTTTATAAGCATTTGAAAATAGTTATTTTTTTTGTTAAAATATTATAAATGACTTATAAGTAGTTGAAAATTGTACTATATTATTTTATCAAATAATAAATTATACTAACTTAATTTTTTACTATAACTATCAAAATATATTTCGTCATGTTACAATATAATTTAATTTTAGAATTAAATACACAATACTTTATAGATAAATATTTATTAAAAATTTATATGAATAATTATAGAAGATTTTTGCAACGAATAGTGATAGAAGTGTGAGTTGATTGAAATATAAAGTAAGGTTTATATAGATTTTTAAATTAAATAAGGATAATGTGATAATATATTTGTCAACGTAACTTACAAGTGATGTTTATAAGAAAAAAAAAAAAAGAGTATATTCCCCAAACTTTTTTTTTTTTTTATTTTTTTTTTTTTTTTTTTTTACATATAAACTTAACTTATAAGTTCAAAAAAGTTGTAAACAAAATATCAGCTTAATTTTAAAGTTTAATTGATTTTCTCAGTTGATAAGCTCACAAACACCCCTTAAACTAGTTAGTTTAGTGATTCTATATTTTAATGATTTAATTTAAAAACTATGGATTTAAGTGTTTTTTTTTTTTTTTTTTTTTTTTTTTTAATATCTTGGTTATAAAATATGTTAGAATGTCCCTACTCTTCCCTATGCAATTGTTAGTTATTTTTTTAGCTTTCATTATAAACCCAATCTTCAAAATTAGATTATCAATGAGTATAAAAAGATTATATTTTATCTTTTGTATGAAATTGAAAAAGAATAGGTTAAAAATCTCTTCTCCTTTTTCATCCCATGACTAAATACATTTTTCTTATAATTGGTACAATAAGATTAAATTTTGACTTAAAAATATGGTTGATGGTTTACTGCAGTGTTGACTTAATATTTTTATCCCTATTCTGGATCCTATTCTCCAAATAAGTTTTGGCACACTATTCCAAATACTACCCTATTTTTTTAATTATATTTTAACCCCATAAGGTTATTAATTTCACTAAATACCCCCTGAAAAGTTTAAAAATTAACAAAAACCCCCATCACCCAACTTGTCAGATTCCGGCAACCACCGTCGGTGATAGCCGAATCTGTACAAACGCCTAACTACTCCGACCAGAAATGGCAGGAAGTTCACCGCTGTGGCTTCCTTTCCGCCAGATCTGGCCGTTACGACGGCCAAAGAAATGGCCGTCATTGACCGAAAAAGCCGGCCAAAGATGGCCCTCGTTTGCCTTTTCCGACTGTCGACGGCCATAACAGACCGTAGATCTGGCCTTTTTCGGCCAGTCCACATGTCTGGCCGGAAAAGGCCATAACGGCGTGTTACGGCACAGATCCGACCGGTCTGTGCCTAACGAAATTTTTCGGTCAGATTCCGGCGTTGGTGGCCGGAATCTGACACTGCAGGTGATGGGGGTGTTTTTGTCATTTTATATATTAGGGTCTTTAGTTAAATTAGTAAACCTAAGGGCTTTTTCACAAATTTTTAAAATTTACCTCGTAATACTCCCCTATCCAATAACCCAATACTATCCCTAAAATCCTATCCAAAATACTAAACCAAACGCACCCTTAGATATTCAACCCATTTGAGATTTTTACACCCGAACATAGTATCGGATTCCTGGCCACCTAATTCACACCGGACCCATTAGACACCTCTTCAACGCAACTTTCTATACCACTCCACCCAAACTTTTTAATACTACATATTAAAATGGATGGTTGAAATTGATGTTTCTTGTCACCACTAAAAAATCGACACGTGTAACTCCGCCCCAAAAAGAGCCATGCAGCCACGTGCTTTTCCCTCTCTGGAATATTCCACGAAACCCCGCAATTCTCAAGAAAACCAAATCAAATTACAACTTTACAACGACCCAATTGAATTCACCCACCAAAAGGTCCAAAACCCTAAAACTCTCTTTTTAAATACTCCCTCTCTCTCTAAAGTTTTCTCTTTGTAAAAACCTCTGATATGGCGTCGTTTAGCGAGGCTCCTCCCGGGGATGCGAAGGTCGGTGAGAAGATCTTCAAGACCAAGTGTGCCCAGTGCCACACTGTTGAAAAAGGCGCCGGTCACAAACAGGGTGAGTTGATTTATCATCAATTTTTATTGGTCTGATTTGATTTGATTTTGATGTGTTTGGATCTGATTTGTTTTAGATCTGAAAGTTATGGGCGGATTTGAGTATATTGATTTTGTTAGTCTTTGGTTGATTTGTTTATAGATTCGTGAAAGATTAAATTTTGTTAGGTTTTAGGGTTCAGAAAATTGATTAAAACATGTTAAGGTTTGGTGAGTTAAATTTTTTATTGACTGTGCGTGATGGAAAGGTTTAATCTTTTTTTATGTAAGCATGTGATTTGCTGATTTTTTTTTTCCCCCGAATAGATTTGTGTAAGAGTAAATTTTCCTTAGGGTCTAGCTTCAAGAAACTGATTAAAATATTTAGGATACGGTGAGTTAAATAATTGAATGTTGGTATTGGAGGATGTTTGATTTGTTGATAGATTTCGGGAAGAGTAATTTTTGCACAGGTTTTAGGGTTCAACAGACCGATTAGGGTGTGGTAGGTTGATTGAAAGTTTAACTTAAATTTTTTACATTGATTTATAGCCATCCAATGGTTTAGAAAGTTTCTGAATTCGACGTTAAAAAGCTAATAGTAATTTTGTAAGTAAGATTCTGTGTAGTTTCTTTGTTGCTGCAATCTTATTTAAACATGTTACAGTGTGATATTGTCAAGTCTTAACTTTAATTTGTAGCTCTAATTAAAAGTAATTTATGTAGCTGAGATGAAAATAAAAGGTTAAAAACTTTTTTGTGAATTGAATCAGAATAGTCAATTTCTATGTTCGTTATCATCGGTGCAGATAGAAAAGAAAAATAGATGTGTAGATTGTCTTTTTTTTTTTTTTTTTTTTTTGACGGGTGTATGGAGTATGGACATGTGGTTGTCAGAGGATTGCCGTGACTTTTCCTTAACCCAAGGGATTCTTCAATGTCCGTAGTGTGTTCAACAACATAGTTGGGAACCATAAATATGTAATTTAATTTGATGTTGAGTTGAGTGAGCTAATAGAGTCAGAAAAGTATTGAATTAGTTATTTGAGAAACTTGACATTTTAGGGTATTATAGCAATTAGAAGGTGCTTTTGTTCTGTCTAAATGGATGTCATTTGCAGGGCCCAATCTTAATGGACTGTTGGAAGGCAATCTGGTACAACACCTGGGTACTCCTACTCTGCTGCTAACAAGAACATGGCTGTGAATTGGGAGGAAAAGACATTGTACGACTACTTGCTCAACCCCAAGAAGGTATGATCCCTATATTATAAGGAAAAAAAAAAAAAAGGGCAGTTTGTGTGATCAATCCTAGACAGAATTAAAACTTCTTCTGTACCAAAGTGCTTCTTAGTATGTCATGTTGAGTTTTCTGACACTTTTGAAACCTTTATGCAGTACTTCCTGGAACAAAGATGGTTTTCCCTGGTTTGAAGAAGCCACAGGATCGTGCTGACCTCATGCATACTTGAAGCAATCCACCTCATCTTAAAACATTTGCCGATACTCTGTTTTTCCAACCATGCCATTTTGCAGTTGTTGGAGATCGTTTCGCAAAGCGGATGTAGTACTATTTTTTACCATAAATTTAATAGACCATTTAGGTCACCAGCCATGCTCTTTGTACAATGAGCATTGCTCGTCATTGCGCATTTGAGAAAAAAAAAAGGTTGCTGTCATGGCAAACATATCATTCAATTCAAATTGCTGGTTCTAATATATTTTATGAATATTTTTTTGGTGAATCTTATCTGCAAATTATTCCATTTTATTTACATTTTTTATGAAATTGCGTCACAAAGCACTTCACTATAAGTTTTATCATTCTTCATTTTTTTTTTTTTTTTTTTTACCATACATGATTGTCGTTTGCCTTGGTTATTTAGCACACATTTGTTTGGTTATACACTTATTTTTATATGCATAGGGGCTTTGGCAAGTATAGCGATTTTGAGGGATTTCCTTCTTCTGATGAAATTTTTAGTAATTTTTATGTATTTTATGGTTAACTAATAGCATGAACATATGACGAAAATTAACTTACTATCATTTTATAACATATTGGTTGGATCATATAGTCTTGCTTCATTATTCGTCGGTCGGATCATACAGATATTTCTTTAACACAATAGATGGTCAAAAAAGTTTTGTAGACTACCAAATGGTCCAAATCACAAGAGCCAATGAAATTGGATTCCCATTTGAAAATGCATGGCTGCGTTTGGTTCAAAATTTAGGGGTTTGGAGAAAAGTTTTTTGAAAAAAGTTAAAAAAAAGTTGAATTGGGCGGGTATTAGACGGTAAATTTATAAATTAATAAAATCTCCTTTATGTTTGTTTTTTTTACAAAATACCCCCTATAATAAAACATTAAAAGTTAACAAAAAACCCCTAACCCACCCTTAAACACCCCGCCGGTGACCACCACCGGAGGTGGCCGAAGTCGTCGTATGGGCGCATGACCGGTTGGATCTTGCCGGTCATGCGTCGCTATGGCCTTTTCCGGCCAGACCCACGGTGGATCTGGCCGGAAAAGGCCAGATCTACGATCAGATCTGACCGTATTTGCTCTCAACGACGGCCAACAAACGGTCGTCGTTGACCATCAACGACGACCGTTTGTTGGCCGTCGTGACTGAGTGTTACGGCAAACGGCCAGATTTTGGCCTTAGATCTGGCCTTTCCGGCCAGATCCACCATGGATCTGGCCGGAAAAGGCTAGATGGCGCACTGCCGGCCAGATTCAACCGGTTAGTGCGCCATTCTACCAGATTCGGCCATTTTCCGGTGGTGGTGGCCGGAATCTGGTAAATGTGGATTATTGGGGTGTTTTTGTAATTTAAAAAAAAATATTTAGGGGTATTAATTAAATTATCAAATTTAAGGGGTTTAAAAAAGTTGAATAATTTTGGGAGTAGTATTCCCAAAAATCTGAATTTTTGGATATTTTACTGTTTAACTTTTTTGGGAATACTAAAAGTGTATTCTCAATGTGAAACAAACGCAGCCCATAATTCTATGTATAGGCATCACTTCATTTCAATTTGAAATTTTCCTTCGAAGGTATCCACAACCACAAGGAGTTGCAATGAATAATATTTCATTCATATAGATAAAAAGTTTTCTATTGATTCTAATGTTGAGCATTTGGATAGAAAAAGAGAAAAACTGAAGATTTTAGACTGATTTTTGCTTTTAAAATCCACCCAAAACCCTTTCAATCTCTTTATTAATATTTAAGAAAGACATATATATATTACAAACCAAAAATTACTAAAAGACACATCAATCATTGTCTTTTACAAAATAACTTTTTATTTTCCTCTTCTTTACCATTTTTATCTTTTTCATTATAAAAACCCTAGATTTAGGCCGGCAAACCCACAAATAGTTGTGATGCCTTGCTGGCAGCCCAAGTGTTTGTTAGCAGGCCACAAGTGGCTGCGTCGTGGGCTTGTTCGCAACCCTGGTTTTTTAATCTACCACAATATCATGGACGCACCCTTAATCAGCACACAACTTGTTTACATATGTTCTCATTTAAGAGGAAAGCTTTTTATTTTGTGAAAGCAAAAAGAGAGAATAGTTGTTTTTGAAATTTTTATTTGTGTTTATCATTATCAACCAAAAGTTCTCATTTTCTAGGCCATAAAGTGGTTGTACATAAACTCTCTTTTATGAAAACAAAAATTCAAAATTAGCAACCGAACATGGTTTACAAGTTTCACAAGAGAAAAAACTTGAAAAAACAGAAAATAAAAATGTAAACGAACAGACCCTCAAAATAGAGACTTAACCTCTAAAAATTTGTTCATTTACATTTTTATTTTTTGTTTTCAATAATTTTTCTACTGAAAAACATGTAGACACTGTTCGGGGCTGTTTTTCAAGTTTGTTTTCATTAAAACGAGAACACATGTACAGCTTCTTAAAGCATACAAAATGAGATAGAGAGAACACTTTGTAGAAACTAACTATAAAAGACAAAATATTTCATCCCATCTTTTTTTCACCTCTCTCACTAAATAAAATCAACTCAAGAGTTCTATCTTAACATTGACAACTGGAAACCAAATATTAACATACTCTTGACAAACTCTTCAAAACAAACAATTTGAATACTGATTCAAGGATGTGTTTGTGGTGACGTTGGTAAATAAAACCATGTCTCGAAGTGGGCCAAGTTAGGCCCGCTACGCGGCCTGGCTATTGCCAGCAGGTCCCAGCAGGACCGCTTGCAACGAAGCTTCGGCCACCAGCAAGGCACTGTAAGTAGCAAGCTGTCGGATTGTTTTCTAAACCTAGGGCTTTGAAGTGTGAAGATAAAAAAAGGGGTGGGCAAGAAAAAAGAAATAGCAAAAAGCCAAAAACCCAGGATTTTAAAGCGTAAAGATAAAAAGGGAGGGAAAAAAAAAAAAAACGAGATAACAAATTGGACTTGGGCCTAGATATCTCATATACCTAAAATAAATAAAAAATAAAAAAAATATAAGATAAAAGATAAAAAGGGGGTGGAGAAGAAGGAAATAAAAAAAATTAACAAAAGTTGATAATGCTAACGTGTACTGTAATTTAACTTCATTTATATATATTTTTTTTATATAATTACTAATTTATGATAACATATTAAATTCTTAAAAAAAAAAATAGAAATACTTTTAGTAGAGGTAAAATACCATTAAATATTAGATTACCTAAAAAGCAAAACTTAGTCCAAAAAGTATTAGATTAATTAGTAATAACAAAATTAATGAATATTTACTAATTAATTAAAGTTAATGCATAATAAAAGTAATCTAAAATCATTTTCAAAAGGTTGTTTTTAAACTAATATGTCGAACACATTTTCAATTTTTTTATTTTCAACATCCTATTTTAAGACAAACGCCAAAATTTGTTTTAAAACTCTAGACACATGAATTTAAATTATTATTTTTTTATTATTTTAAATATTCTCATAAAACACAAAAACAATTCATAAACAAACAGCCCCAAAACCTCTTAAATTAAGAAAACAAAAGACAAAATCATACCAAAAGGAATACCACTAACCATATTTACTAAAGCTTTGCACATAGCACAAACTCTTTATGATCATACATAATACCACACCAGTATCACCAAAAATAAAGGGAAAAAAACACGCACACACACAAATAAGAGACGATATGTTCTTACTGAAATAGTAAAGAGATAGAGAGAGAGAGAGGATTGTCAGATCAGTATGCAGGGGGTTCTCATTGTTGCGAATGTGACTGCAATGGCCGACGGAGTCCGGGTATCTACAACACAATCAATCCCGTGACTTCATAAGAATCACAGAATAAAAATGCCCTATTCACAAGTTTAAAGAAATAAGAACCAGCTTATTGCTGAATGATTCCTAACTTGATGGATGTAAATAAGCTAAAAGAGTAATGTTACACATCTCGTCTAATATTCCAAAATTTTAATTTCAAGTGAAATGACATTCTACATGACACTATTTTGTAAATAATTAACTAATATGATAAGTGACATGGTAAGATCATGTAGGATTACATGTCATTTAGGACAGAAATTTTGAGACACTGTCAAAATCTATAATATTACTCAAATCAAAACAATAAGCACAAGACAAGATTGACCAGTATGACATTCATTACTATCGAGTATAAAATGCTATTCTAGGAATAAAATTAGATGCTTTTTGATCGATTAGGACAACAAAAGGACCAAGGATGGAACTACAGACATAAGAATCAGTTTGTGAACAAGTTCAGCGAATAAGTACAGAATTGACAACAGGATATGGATACCAACCTCAACTCCTTGGGGGCCAATTCGGTTACGAGATATAAAATTGAGTATCAGAGTTGCAAATTCCTCAGGAGAGTCTTCCTATAATAATTTGGCATATGAAAATTGCAATTGTTCAATACTAAGTTATAAATATAAAGAGCGTGTTAAGAAATATAACTGATGTGGACCTGTATAGCATGCCCAGTATGTCTCACAACTACCATCTGAAATTTTCCTTGCATTTGCCCAATTGTGAGAGATCTGTTACAGAACAGTGAGAAATTTTCTCAGGATATCAAGTTGAAGAGTTTTCATGTTTCGGCAGTAGCATGGCTTGCTGAAAACTAATCACTACCAAAGAAAGAATTTATCTTATTCTATCCAGCCAATGCCATTCCTTCGGAACTGAACAATGATGAACAAAACAAAGTGTAGAAAATTCTTCAAGCTTTAGATACTGATTGCTTAATTACCAGAGCTTTGGATTATGACATTGATCCAAAATATTGTTTGGAATAATGTGAAGCAAGTTTGGCTATGCCTTCAAAATCTTATCCATGTTTTAACATTTATTCCTCAAGAAATAGTTTTGTTATTAATAAACATGGTTTCGAATAATGATATTGATTAACTTCAAAAATGATCTATTATAACTTAATAAAGACAACCTGTCCAGTCTGTCTGTTCCTGCTAGCAGCAAGACCTTTGGGACTGGACATGACAAAAATATATCCGAAAGCCCTTCATACCTGCAAGACAATTCAAAGGTTCAATAGAAACGAATTTTCGCAAATAATTTTTACTGAAGAGAAAGATAAACATCCATTTACACACTAACATCAAAATACTGTTACTTATATTTACTAAGGCATGTATTTGGTTACCATGTGATAGAGACTTGAGAAACCAGTTGACATATACAAACAATAAAGTACTACAAGCAGTCTTAATTAGAAATAGAATTTTTTTCGCATTGAACTTTGATAAGATTGACTTTGCTGTCAATTATGATGATCAACAGTTACTCTGACTGCCAAAGCAATTTAATGCTCTGAAATTCTGAAGTGATAAATTGAACCCAAGCAAGCCTCAAAACAGAAGTTGTATTGACTACAAGAATCCATTGCTCTGTTACACCCAGTCCAAGCTTAATTGTTGCATCCTAGCACATTTCAAAGCAAATTTATAGGACTACTGGAGTTACTTGATAGCTAGTGTAAAACTATGGTAATATCCTCAGAAGGTCCACTTTGAAATTTAATCTGCCAAACTCAAATGACAGAATCTAACTAGAAGGTTGACAAAAGAAAAAAAAGTGGGTGTCTTTCCCCGTTTAACCAAAAGGAACCTTCAAAGTTAACGCTTATAAATTAATAGAAATAAACAAAGGCATGATCTTCTTTTCCCAAGGAGATGGTTGACCCTTCTCATCTCCTTAAACTACATTTCATCCTACCATCAGATATACCTTTGCAGGTGAATTTCAAATGAGAATGAAGCTTAGTAATAGTTAATATATGTTAATAGATGGAGATTCTAAACATACTTGCCTAATTGATGCCAAGTTGTTCAAATTTCATATATGCATCATATCCTCGAAAAAAAGGCAAAAAATCATTATTATGGTCATTCCACCAGTCAAGTGTATGCCACATGCCCTAAAGTCCATAAAAGTTACAGGGAAAAATTGCCAATACCCAATCGTCCCAACACAAAAGTCATCTTTATCCAAGCACCACAACCTTCTGTGCCACCAGCATTGCCCTCATCATTGTTGTACAACATTTGCTACAAGAAACGGTGATTTCTAGTTCAACGATTTAGGTGTGAGATGAAAATTTTGAACACTTTATTCATTATAAAGATATCTATGATTTGGTTTTTCAGCAGGAAATTATGAAATTTTATGAAATTACCTGCTTAGCCAATAATAAAGAACATTAAATTTTAAAGACAAGTTTTCCAAATCATTCTTACACTAGCTCAAATTATCAAAGTTTGTTTCTTAAATAAGAAAACAAAGAAAGAAAAAAAGCTCATATTATCAAATGTTCACAGAGCTTTGCCCTTCCTTTTTCCATAATTATTGTTATTGTTTCATCTTTTGCTTTTCATAATCTGTCTAAATTAAAAACTCATTATATTACCCCTCACAATCAACATTAATCCACATATCAATGATACTTTTCAGTTTGACTATAAATAACAAACATACCATCCTCTCCAATATTGTTCAGTTTCTACCAAACGTGCTCGATGGACATAACTGCAGAATAAAGTCAAAACAGCATATGTTAGCACAAGGACTTGGAAATTACACAATGACAATTTGTAGTTAGAATGACAGATGCACTTACCACTTCTTTGAATCATCATACTTTAATGTGGAAGGGATAGAAACACGGGCAGAGTCAATATTTCTCAAAGCACCTCCTTTGACACTCCATTCAATCTGTTAAATTATCAAATTAATTGAGAGAGACAAACATCAAGGGTAAGCAGAAGCTTACATTCAGAAAAAAAATTTCCAGCTTAATACTACATTAGACTTTTTGGGCCATGTCATGGTAGATTAGATTGTCTAACATGCAACTTCCATCCCAATGCCGTAGGCATCCATAGTTGCCATCAACCAGATACATTCCATTTAAGTTATTTACATCAATATGGTGATTCGTCCATAATCTCGTGGTCAGTCTTGGGTCTGTGGTCAATGTCAGCAGTTTACCAGCCAATAAGTCAACTTTTATCAGTGGTATGTCATCAAAGCTTCTTAATAACACAATGGTATTTGCATCCTTTCAGATCCTTTTAACGAGGGTGTCACTTTACGGCATATATTTCTTCACCCGCTATATTCATTATTATCAGAGTGTTCTATAAAAATAGGCCTACTATCTTCTCTATTCAACGGCAAAGGGTAATTAAAACAATCAAATCTTCATCTATTTGTTAAACTTCATTATCATCCACTGTATGCTTGTTTAATCAAACACCAGACAAAGAATATTAAGTCAACCCCTAGAATCTAACCGATTCTCAAATACTACTTGCATAATATATTGCTAAACTGCAGAAGTTTCAACCATGCTCTGGCAATATCGGATACAGTAAACGTATTGTGATCGGTATCAATAGGCATAACCCTTTCAGGATAACTAGATTACATCTATGATTTCACTATAGAATGCTTTTTTCTTTTCAAAATAAATTTCGGCGGTCTTTGTTCTTTTAATTTGTTATTACCTTTGGAGTTAAGTCATAAATAAATAAATCAGTATGTGAACAAACGATGAATGAAGCTTGTACATGCTTCTATATGCAAGCATGTGCATTCAAATATATTTAACCATGTGTAAGTTGTATTTTTTAATGAAATATAAGTTCCTAAATGATCATCCATCTTATCTAACGGTTCAAAGAGTGTAGTTCATTAAAGTCAAAAAGTAGCTTTTAACCCAACTTAGCAACTCTCTAAATCTTTGAATTAGAGCATATAAATGTTTGAAAGTTTGTGGCCGATTTTAAATAAAAAAATTTAAGTCATAGTACCTTGACCATAATCTATTATTAATATAAATAATATATTACATATTTGGAAGATATTATAGTAGATAGCATATAATGAAGGCAAGCAAGAGGTCATTGCTCATTGTGAGTTAAGTTTCGCATTTCAGTCCTAAACTTAACACATTTATTAACTGATGGCCTTTGGGCCAACTAAATAAGGGAAGATCTAATGTAAAAATTGGTGAGGACCTCTACCATATGAAATAAGTTTGATAAGAGTGGACAGCCACAAAATTTCATGCTCATTAATCCAGAGTTCTAACTTGCTCAGTTGGCTTTGATTTGAATAAATAAATAAATAATACATCAAACAAAGGAGAGGGAATAACTATTTAACAAGAGAATCAGTTTAATAAAGCATCCAGGAGTTGAATAGAATAACCAAGTCCTAGACATTTTTAAGCTCTAAATTGAATATTATTTTGTCTAAGAAAGAGTCATTCCATTTCCACTCCGTATAACAAAGATAAGGGAAAAGAAAACAATTTTCTGTCTTTAACTTAAAACAATAGAGTGGATGTTTGATAAAAGCAGGGCGTCTTTGAGCTAGGAATAAAGTAGGTTCCAATCATGGCACATGTGAATAATTCAAATACTGAAATCAAGGTCAAACACCAACCTCCACATCATATACTTTGAACTATTAAATATTTCATCAATATAGCCAATAATAAAAACGCGGGAACAACTGGGGTGTGAAGGAAATGTATATACCGCTTTTTCGATGCTTGAAAAGTGCTGCACTCTGCTTGATAGGATTTTCTGCATATGGATCAATGAAGCCATAGCTGTTCCCTGAAAAGACAATCAATATCGGTTCAAATTCCACGTTTTAGCATATAGACACAGTAAATGATGAGAATGTTGCTCCGTAGAAACCAAACCTCTACAACATCCACAACAACCAACCCAGCCAAGGTACGCAATGTTTTCTTTGCAGCAACATGCACAGCAACTGAACCTCCCATGCTGTACATTAATGACAAAATTCATATATATAGTTGGCCTTGGGGGGCAAGAGAGAGATGATGAATGCATCAAAAATGTTCTATTGACAAGAAATTAATAAACAGCTCAAGTCATCATCATCAGCCATTTTTTCTATCAGCAAACAGAACCTTGACAAAGAGTGCAGTTATACATTTTGAAAGCAAACAGATAGCATATTTTGCATTTATAAGAAAAATGATAGCAGCAGCATGGAGATTTTCCACTCATATAAGCATTTAGCAACAGAAACCTAATGATTTCAAGGTTACCACTTTGTCCAAAGGGCAGCACTTCAATTGAAAGGCTTGACAATGTTGTGTGTCAATCTGATGTATATTCTCCTCTAGGGGTTTATTTTATTTACACACTAACATAATCATTCAAATTTTACGCCAGGTAAGGACTAAAATCATTCAACAGACAAAAATAATCAGCTAGAATCTTTGACCAATAAAACATAAAATAAAGTAAAAAGGCCCTGCAATTGACAAATCCTGTTTGATTAATGCCTTTAAAAGTTTTAGCACCTTGTTTTGGCCTCCAAAAATGCATTACATGGTACCAGTGCAACAGAACTTAAAAAGGAAATAATTTATTGAAGAAGCACAACCTGTGGCCGACAAGCACAATAGCAGGAGGGGATTCTCCATACATTTCCTTTATAACAGCTAAAACGTCATTGCACATAGTCTGCACACAGACAATTACCTTTTAATTTCAAGGATGCAAAGCTAAAATAAGAAACTTTCACAACATAACAACTAAAACATCCTTATGTATTTCTTCTACTATTTATTATCTGTACCTCAACAGAGAGGTCAAGATCGTTTTCCGAGGACGATTTTCCATGTCCTCTCAGGTCCATAGCAACTACCCGAGCTTTCTCCTTAATTTTACCAGCTGATAAAGTAAATGAAAGTCTGCCAAAATGAGTTCAGTTAATCAGACAAAACAATAACGCAAAATGTGATTTGGTCTCTACAAATACAAAGAGTTAAAAAAAAAAAAAAAAAAAAAAAGCATTTAAAGTTCTTGAGGAGTATTTAATCGATTGTATACAAAAGAGTGAATTTACATCAAACTGAAAAATATCCAAATATTAGAGGATTTGTTCATATTCATTGATAATCTAAGACAACTACACTTGAAATTTAATCTGCCAAACTCAAATGACAGAACTAACTAGAAGGTTGACAAAAGAAAAAAAAATGGGTGTCTTTCCCCGTTTAACCAAAAGGAACCTTCAAAGTTAACGCTTATAAATTAATAGAAATAACAAAGGCATGATTTTCTTTCCCAAGGAGATGGTTGACCCTTCTCATCTCTAAACTACATTTCACCTACCATCAGATTACCTTTGCAGGTGAATTTCAAAGAGAATGAAGCTTAGTAATAGTTAATATATGTTAATGATGGAGATTCTAAACATACTGCCTTATTGATGCCAAGTTGTTCAAATTTAATATGCATCATATCCTCGAAAAAAAGGCAAAAAATCATATTAGGTCATTCCCAGTCAAGGTGATGCCACATGCCCTAAAGTCCATAAAAGTTACAGGGAAAAATTGCCAATACCCAATCGTCCCAACACAAAACATCTTTATCAAGCACCACAACCTTCTGTGCCACAGCATTGCCCTCATCATTGTTGTACAACATTGCTACAAGAAACGGTGATTTCTAGTTCAACGATTTAGGTGTGAGATGAAAATTTGAACACTTTATTCATTATAAAGATATCTATGATTGGTTTTTCAGCAGGAAATTATGAAATTTTATGAAATTACCTGCTTAGCCAATAATAAGAACATTAAATTTTAAAGACAAGTTTTCCAAATCATTCTTACACTAGCTCAAATTATCAAAGTTTGTTTCTTAAATAAGAAAACAAAGAAAGAAAAAAAGCTCATATTACAAATGTCACAGAGCTTTCCTTCCTTTTTCCATAATTATTGTTATTGTTTCATCTTTGCTTTCATAATCTGTCTAAATTAAAAACTCATTATATTACCCCTCACAATCAACATTAATCCACATATCAATGATACTTTTCAGTTTGACTATAAATAAACAAACATACCTCCTCTCCCATATTGTTCAGTTTCTAACAAACGTGCTCGATGGACATAACTGCAGAATAAAGTCAAAACAGATAGTTAGCACAAGGACTGGAAATACACAATGACAATTTGTAGTTAGAATGACAGAGCACTTACCACTTCTTTGAATCATCATACTTTAATGTGGAAGGGATAGAAACACGGGCAGAGTCAATATTCTCAAAGCACCTCCTTTGACACTCCATTCAATCTGTTAAATTATCAAATTAATTGAGAGAGACAAACATCAAGGGTAAGCAGAAGCTTACATTCAGAAAAAAATTTCCAGCTTAATACTACATTAGACTTTTTGGGCCATGTCATGGTAGATTAGATGTCTAACATGCAACTTCCATCCCAATGCCGTAGGCATCATAGTGCCATCACCAGATACATTCCATTTAAGTTATTTACATCAATATGGTGATTCGTCCATAATCTAGTGGTCAGCTTGGGTCCGTGGTCAATGTCAGCAGTTTACCAGCCAATAAGTCAACTTATCAGTGGTATGTCATCAAAGCTTCTTAATAACACAATGGTATTTGCATCCTTCAGATCCTTTAACGAGGGTGTCACTTTACGGCATATATTCTTCACCCGCTATATTCATTATTATCAGAGTGTCTTATAAAAATAGGCCTACTATCTTCTCTATTCAACGGCAAAGGGTAATTAAAACAATCAAATCATCTATTTGTTAAACTTCATTATCATCCACTGTATGCTGTTAATCAAACAACAGACAAAGAAATTAAGTCAACCCCTAGAATCTTAACCGATTCTCAAATACTACTTGCATAATATATTGCTAAACTGCAGAAGTTTCAACCATGCTCTGGCAATATCGGATACAGTAAAAGTATTGTGATCGGTATCAATAGGCATAACCCTTTCAGGATAACTAGATTCATCTATGATTTCATATAGAATGCTTTTTTCTTTTCAAAATAAAAAGTTGATAATGCTAACGTGTACTGTAATTTAACTTCATTTATATATATTTTTTATATAATTACTAATTTATGATAACATATTAAATTCTTAAAAAAAAAAAAAAATAGAAATACTTTTAGTAGAGGTAAAATACCATTAAATATTAGATTACCTAAAAAGCAAAACTTAGTCCAAAAAGTATTAGATTAATTAGTAATAACAAAATTAATGAATATTTACTAATTAATTAAAGTTAACGCATAATAAAAGTAATCTAAAATCATTTTCAAAAGGTTGTTTTTAAACTAATATGTCGAACACATTTTCAATTTTTTTATTTTCAACATCCTATTTTAAGACAAACGCCAAAATTTGTTTTAAAACTCTAGACACATGAATTTAAATTATTATTTTTTTATTATTTTAAATATTCTCATAAAACACAAAAACAATTCATAAACAAACAGCCCCAAAACCTCTTAAATTAAGAAAACAAAAGACAAAATCATACCAAAAGGAATACCACTAACCATATTTACTAAAGCTTTGCACATAGCACAAACTCTTTATGATCATACATAATACCACACCAGTATCACCAAAAATAAAGGGAAAAAAACACGCACACACACAAATAAGAGACGATATGTTCTTACTGAAATAGTAAAGAGATAGAGAGAGAGAGAGGATTGTCAGATCAGTATGCAGGGGGTTCTCATTGTTGCGAATGTGACTGCAATGGCCGACGGAGTCCGGGTATCTACAACACAATCAATCCCGTGACTTCATAAGAATCACAGAATAAAAATGCCCTATTCACAAGTTTAAAGAAATAAGAACCAGCTTATTGCTGAATGATTCCTAACTTGATGGATGTAAATAAGCTAAAAGAGTAATGTTACACATCTCGTCTAATATTCCAAAATTTTAATTTCAAGTGAAATGACATTCTACATGACACTATTTTGTAAATAATTAACTAATATGATAAGTGACATGGTAAGATCATGTAGGATTACATGTCATTTAGGACAGAAATTTTGAGACACTGTCAAAATCTATAATATTACTCAAATCAAAACAATAAGCACAAGACAAGATTGACCAGTATGACATTCATTACTATCGAGTATAAAATGCTATTCTAGGAATAAAATTAGATGCTTTTTGATCGATTAGGACAACAAAAGGACCAAGGATGGAACTACAGACATAAGAATCAGTTTGTGAACAAGTTCAGCGAATAAGTACAGAATTGACAACAGGATATGGATACCAACCTCAACTCCTTGGGGGCCAATTCGGTTACGAGATATAAAATTGAGTATCAGAGTTGCAAATTCCTCAGGAGAGTCTTCCTATAATAATTTGGCATATGAAAATTGCAATTGTTCAATACTAAGTTATAAATATAAAGAGCGTGTTAAGAAATATAACTGATGTGGACCTGTATAGCATGCCCAGTATGTCTCACAACTACCATCTGAAATTTTCCTTGCATTTGCCCAATTGTGAGAGATCTGTTACAGAACAGTGAGAAATTTTCTCAGGATATCAAGTTGAAGAGTTTTCATGTTTCGGCAGTAGCATGGCTTGCTGAAAACTAATCACTACCAAAGAAAGAATTTATCTTATTCTATCCAGCCAATGCCATTCCTTCGGAACTGAACAATGATGAACAAAACAAAGTGTAGAAAATTCTTCAAGCTTTAGATACTGATTGCTTAATTACCAGAGCTTTGGATTATGACATTGATCCAAAATATTGTTTGGAATAATGTGAAGCAAGTTTGGCTATGCCTTCAAAATCTTATCCATGTTTTAACATTTATTCCTCAAGAAATAGTTTTGTTATTAATAAACATGGTTTCGAATAATGATATTGATTAACTTCAAAAATGATCTATTATAACTTAATAAAGACAACCTGTCCAGTCTGTCTGTTCCTGCTAGCAGCAAGACCTTTGGGACTGGACATGACAAAAATATATCCGAAAGCCCTTCATACCTGCAAGACAATTCAAAGGTTCAATAGAAACGAATTTTCGCAAATAATTTTTACTGAAGAGAAAGATAAACATCCATTTACACACTAACATCAAAATACTGTTACTTATATTTACTAAGGCATGTATTTGGTTACCATGTGATAGAGACTTGAGAAACCAGTTGACATATACAAACAATAAAGTACTACAAGCAGTCTTAATTAGAAATAGAATTTTTTTCGCATTGAACTTTGATAAGATTGACTTTGCTGTCAATTATGATGATCAACAGTTACTCTGACTGCCAAAGCAATTTAATGCTCTGAAATTCTGAAGTGATAAATTGAACCCAAGCAAGCCTCAAAACAGAAGTTGTATTGACTACAAGAATCCATTGCTCTGTTACACCCAGTCCAAGCTTAATTGTTGCATCCTAGCACATTTCAAAGCAAATTTATAGGACTACTGGAGTTACTTGATAGCTAGTGTAAAACTATGGTAATATCCTCAGAAGGTCCACTTTGAAATTTAATCTGCCAAACTCAAATGACAGAATCTAACTAGAAGGTTGACAAAAGAAAAAAAAGTGGGTGTCTTTCCCCGTTTAACCAAAAGGAACCTTCAAAGTTAACGCTTATAAATTAATAGAAATAAACAAAGGCATGATCTTCTTTTCCCAAGGAGATGGTTGACCCTTCTCATCTCCTTAAACTACATTTCATCCTACCATCAGATATACCTTTGCAGGTGAATTTCAAATGAGAATGAAGCTTAGTAATAGTTAATATATGTTAATAGATGGAGATTCTAAACATACTTGCCTAATTGATGCCAAGTTGTTCAAATTTCATATATGCATCATATCCTCGAAAAAAAGGCAAAAAATCATTATTATGGTCATTCCACCAGTCAAGTGTATGCCACATGCCCTAAAGTCCATAAAAGTTACAGGGAAAAATTGCCAATACCCAATCGTCCCAACACAAAAGTCATCTTTATCCAAGCACCACAACCTTCTGTGCCACCAGCATTGCCCTCATCATTGTTGTACAACATTTGCTACAAGAAACGGTGATTTCTAGTTCAACGATTTAGGTGTGAGATGAAAATTTTGAACACTTTATTCATTATAAAGATATCTATGATTTGGTTTTTCAGCAGGAAATTATGAAATTTTATGAAATTACCTGCTTAGCCAATAATAAAGAACATTAAATTTTAAAGACAAGTTTTCCAAATCATTCTTACACTAGCTCAAATTATCAAAGTTTGTTTCTTAAATAAGAAAACAAAGAAAGAAAAAAAGCTCATATTATCAAATGTTCACAGAGCTTTGCCCTTCCTTTTTCCATAATTATTGTTATTGTTTCATCTTTTGCTTTTCATAATCTGTCTAAATTAAAAACTCATTATATTACCCCTCACAATCAACATTAATCCACATATCAATGATACTTTTCAGTTTGACTATAAATAACAAACATACCATCCTCTCCAATATTGTTCAGTTTCTACCAAACGTGCTCGATGGACATAACTGCAGAATAAAGTCAAAACAGCATATGTTAGCACAAGGACTTGGAAATTACACAATGACAATTTGTAGTTAGAATGACAGATGCACTTACCACTTCTTTGAATCATCATACTTTAATGTGGAAGGGATAGAAACACGGGCAGAGTCAATATTTCTCAAAGCACCTCCTTTGACACTCCATTCAATCTGTTAAATTATCAAATTAATTGAGAGAGACAAACATCAAGGGTAAGCAGAAGCTTACATTCAGAAAAAAAATTTCCAGCTTAATACTACATTAGACTTTTTGGGCCATGTCATGGTAGATTAGATTGTCTAACATGCAACTTCCATCCCAATGCCGTAGGCATCCATAGTTGCCATCAACCAGATACATTCCATTTAAGTTATTTACATCAATATGGTGATTCGTCCATAATCTCGTGGTCAGTCTTGGGTCTGTGGTCAATGTCAGCAGTTTACCAGCCAATAAGTCAACTTTTATCAGTGGTATGTCATCAAAGCTTCTTAATAACACAATGGTATTTGCATCCTTTCAGATCCTTTTAACGAGGGTGTCACTTTACGGCATATATTTCTTCACCCGCTATATTCATTATTATCAGAGTGTTCTATAAAAATAGGCCTACTATCTTCTCTATTCAACGGCAAAGGGTAATTAAAACAATCAAATCTTCATCTATTTGTTAAACTTCATTATCATCCACTGTATGCTTGTTTAATCAAACACCAGACAAAGAATATTAAGTCAACCCCTAGAATCTAACCGATTCTCAAATACTACTTGCATAATATATTGCTAAACTGCAGAAGTTTCAACCATGCTCTGGCAATATCGGATACAGTAAAAGTATTGTGATCGGTATCAATAGGCATAACCCTTTCAGGATAACTAGATTACATCTATGATTTCACTATAGAATGCTTTTTTCTTTTCAAAATAAATTTCGGCGGTCTTTGTTCTTTTAATTTGTTATTACCTTTGGAGTTAAGTCATAAATAAATAAATCAGTATGTGAACAAACGACGAATGAAGCTTGTACATGCTTCTATATGCAAGCATGTGCATTCAAATATATTTAACCATGTGTAAGTTGTATTTTTTAATGAAATATAAGTTCCTAAATGATCATCCATCTTATCTAACGGTTCAAAGAGTGTAGTTCATTAAAGTCAAAAAGTAGCTTTTAACCCAACTTAGCAACTCTCTAAATCTTTGAATTAGAGCATATAAATGTTTGAAAGTTTGTGGCCGATTTTAAATAAAAAAATTTAAGTCATAGTACCTTGACCATAATCTATTATTAATATAAATAATATATTACATATTTGGAAGATATTATAGTAGATAGTATATAATGAAGGCAAGCAAGAGGTCATTGCTCATTGTGAGTTAAGTTTCGCATTTCAGTCCTAAACTTAACACATTTATTAACTGATGGCCTTTGGGCCAACTAAATAAGGGAAGATCTAATGTAAAAATTGGTGAGGACCTCTACCATATGAAATAAGTTTAATAAGAGTGGACAGCCACAAAATTTCATGCTCATTAATCCAGAGTTCTAACTTGCTCAGTTGGCTTTGATTTGAATAAATAAATAAATAATACATCAAACAAAGGAGAGGGAATAACTATTTAACAAGAGAATCAGTTTAATAAAGCATCCAGGAGTTGAATAGAATAACCAAGTCCTAGACATTTTTAAGCTCTAAATTGAATATTATTTTGTCTAAGAAAGAGTCATTCCATTTCCACTCCGTATAACAAAGATAAGGGAAAAGAAAACAATTTTCTGTCTTTAACTTAAAACAATAGAGTGGATGTTTGATAAAAGCAGGGCGTCTTTGAGCTAGGAATAAAGTAGGTTCCAATCATGGCACATGTGAATAATTCAAATACTGAAATCAAGGTCAAACACCAACCTCCACATCATATACTTTGAACTATTAAATATTTCATCAATATAGCCAATAATAAAAACGCGGGAACAACTGGGGTGTGAAGGAAATGTATATACCGCTTTTTCGATGCTTGAAAAGTGCTGCACTCTGCTTGATAGGATTTTCTGCATATGGATCAATGAAGCCATAGCTGTTCCCTGAAAAGACAATCAATATCGGTTCAAATTCCACGTTTTAGCATATAGACACAGTAAATGATGAGAATGTTGCTCCGTAGAAACCAAACCTCTACAACATCCACAACAACCAACCCAGCCAAGGTACGCAATGTTTTCTTTGCAGCAACATGCACAGCAACTGAACCTCCCATGCTGTACATTAATGACAAAATTCATATATATAGTTGGCCTTGGGGGGCAAGAGAGAGATGATGAATGCATCAAAAATGTTCTATTGACAAGAAATTAATAAACAGCTCAAGTCATCATCATCAGCCATTTTTTCTATCAGCAAACAGAACCTTGACAAAGAGTGCAGTTATACATTTTGAAAGCAAACAGATAGCATATTTTGCATTTATAAGAAAAATGATAGCAGCAGCATGGAGATTTTCCACTCATATAAGCATTTAGCAACAGAAACCTAATGATTTCAAGGTTACCACTTTGTCCAAAGGGCAGCACTTCAATTGAAAGGCTTGACAATGTTGTGTGTCAATCTGATGTATATTCTCCTCTAGGGGTTTATTTTATTTACACACTAACATAATCATTCAAATTTTACGCCAGGTAAGGACTAAAATCATTCAACAGACAAAAATAATCAGCTAGAATCTTTGACCAATAAAACATAAAATAAAGTAAAAAGGCCCTGCAATTGACAAATCCTGTTTGATTAATGCCTTTAAAAGTTTTAGCACCTTGTTTTGGCCTCCAAAAATGCATTACATGGTACCAGTGCAACAGAACTTAAAAAGGAAATAATTTATTGAAGAAGCACAACCTGTGGCCGACAAGCACAATAGCAGGAGGGGATTCTCCATACATTTCCTTTATAACAGCTAAAACGTCATTGCACATAGTCTGCACACAGACAATTACCTTTTAATTTCAAGGATGCAAAGCTAAAATAAGAAACTTTCACAACATAACAACTAAAACATCCTTATGTATTTCTTCTACTATTTATTATCTGTACCTCAACAGAGAGGTCAAGATCGTTTTCCGAGGACGATTTTCCATGTCCTCTCAGGTCCATAGCAACTACCCGAGCTTTCTCCTTAATTTTACCAGCTGATAAAGTAAATGAAAGTCTGCCAAAATGAGTTCAGTTAATCAGACAAAACAATAACGCAAAATGTGATTTGGTCTCTACAAATACAAAGAGTTAAAAAAAAAAAAAAAAAGCATTTAAAGTTCTTAAGGAGTATTTAATCGATTGTATACAAAAGAGTGAATTTACATCAAACTGAAAAATATCCAAATATTAGAGGATTTGTTCATATTCATTGATAATCTAAGACAACAATCACCCTTCAATAGAAATTTGAGATAAATCAAAAAATAGACTAGACAGAAACCAATTCCCTAGCAGTAGAGGAGAAAAAACCAATTAAAACAGTCCACTGGTTAAGTTATCCTATCATGCTGACAAACGAAAAGATTCATCCATTAAAAAATGTACATCATGTAAAAATACAAGATTGGAACTTTTGAGTTACTAAATAAAAATTTGAGCTATTGCACTATCCAAGTTGACTATATATTCTTCAATCAACATTCTATTGATATGATATTCCACTTGGTGAAGTCCAGAAAGTGCAGATTTAATGATCTATTCATGTGGAACTTACTTGGACGATTTTTGTCAATTTTAAATCATTTATATATAATCTTCTTTTTCGGCATTGGTAATTCATTAATACTTAAGTTTAATTCATTTAAAGAGTTAAATGAAGATCCGTAGTTTCCAGAATTGCTGGAAGAGGCCGTAGATTGCGTGAACCTCTTATATTAACTTTATTTGCCTAATTAGTATTCCAGAAGTAGTTTTAATTTGGCCTTCCCCTGTCAGAGCCTGAAAATCTTTTGTTTCTTTAATAGGAATCCTACATGAAGTATATGCAGTCTGTCAAATAAATTTTTAAAGCTTTTTAAACTCTACATGAGGGTGTGACATCCCCTTTTTCCCTGGTTGCAATTTTTCAGGAACCTTATCGTGATCAACACTGAGGTTGAACCCCAGAAACTTTTTTCATCTTTTTTTTTCTAAATTTTTACAATCTACCTATTGTCTCCAGCAGCTAAATAACCTTAAACATCAAACCTTTTCACGTAAAATCAATTACCAATTTATTTGAAACATATTCTCATCAACCTACAACCACGAATTCACATACAGTGCGTAAGATTCTGCATTTCCATTTTACCTAATTAATCCTATTCTTGGGACTAAAAAGGAAGCAATTATGCTTGGCCTTGAATGCATTTTTGGCAGTTGAGCTGCCATGGAAGCCAAATACTAAGTAGCATCCATTAAATCATTTTTCCAGGTATTTTTATACACGTTCAAAATAGCAAGTCATCATAGGTTTTTCTTGGAACTAGCATTTTACAGACCTTGTGAGAGTATGTGAAACCAAAGTATTAGAATAAGCATATGACATCAGATGCCTATTAAACTGCAGAACTCTTATTACCTACTTATTTCAACAGACCATTCTATAAATATTACACACAATCTTAAACAATCATCTTCATTAATTTTTAACATTATGAAAAACGAACAGTTTCAGCTGAAGAATAGTCAATCATACCCAGAATATCCACCACCATGCAGGCAAAAAACAACTGGTCCTTCTGTTCCTGCCATATATACATGAAAGACCTAACATGATAAAGCATATTAGAAGAGAATAACTGCAACTAAACTTGAAGATTGTCGAAATTGTCAACACTAACATCATTTGAGTCAGGAATGGGGATATCCTTCTCTTCATCAAAATAGCCCAACCAATCCAAAGGTGAGTATTTTTGCAGAGAACTCCTGCAAGTAAATTTTGGTAAATCAACATACACCTTAAATTATATAGTGAGAAAGAATGCTAAAACTAAAGATATTAGTGAAATTACTTCATGCATAAATATTATATCTTGGCCAGCCCTATAAATCTGAATAACTTGCCACAGTTTTACCCATCTCCCTCTCTCTCTCTCTCTCTCTCTCTCTCTCTCGGATAAGAAACAGATTTTGTATTAAGTGCCAAATTTACAAAAAAGGAAAACAGGCTATCCTCCACCATAGAAGAAAGCATATAGTTGCAGCATGAGAGCCAAAAACATCCAACAAAAAAAAGCAGGACACTCTAAAAGAGTCCTGACAATTTTTTTTTTTTTAAAAAGAAGCCACAAAGTCCTCCACTGCCCCTCCCATTAAACTATACAATAATTCAACTCAATCATAAGACAACTGCTTCCCAATCATGATGGATAAAGAAACGACGAATTCCCCCAACTTTGGAAGTAGCCAACACGTAAAACAGAAGCCCAGATTCATCCCATGAAAAGACTTTTTTTTTTTTTTATTCCATCAATGGCAAATAACCTCAAGGAACATCTTCAAGCACTTCCTTTCCACACCAAACACAATGACAAAGGGAATCCCTTCTAACCCTCCACCTTAATGGAAATATAATAAAATGATGTCCGTGGATATGGTTTTCAACAACTTTTCATGTATCATGCCCATGCTCCACATACATGAAAAACATATCATATATTTCTAGAAATCAAGTTTCCACTTCTGCTAATCTAGCAGAAAAGTTTCCACTTTATGAATCCCTTGGAAAAGCTACCCGCATATCAGAAGTATAAAAAGGGAAAAACTAAGAAAATTCAGTGAACCCCAATACGTATAACATTTTCCACATATATACCCTGAAACTGACATTGCAAACCTGAAAACAAATCATAGCAGCATCACTTATCTTCTTTATTCTTTTTCACAGGGACCTTATACCCATATTTAGTTTTCACCGAAAGAGTATAGACTTATTTTGATAAGATTAGAGACTGACAAACAATTTACAAATGGAGTTAACATATTCTTTTATTCTTTTTTCTTCTAAACTACTATTTAGAAAGTTGTTCAATTCACCAAAAGCCAAGTAATACCGAAATTAACAACCTTGTGCACAGGGATTACTACTTTGAGGAAGTTTGTTTTCTCTTTCAGGAAGCCTCTACAAAAATGAGGCGTCATAGCCTCATCAACAAAATTTACGTGTGAACAAACAAAAATATGAATCCACTACTAAGATGCCAATACCTAAACACTTAATTTAACCATAATAAGAGTGTTATTAGGAGCATTTCCGTAAAAATCCCTTTCAAATAAAAACACCTTAAACCTGAAGGTAATAGTCAAGTAATCAGACATGCAGTTTGATCCAGCAAGGTCAAAGGTTCCAATCTTGAGGACCACCTACCTAGCAACAAGCCATGAGTTATCTTCTTCGGAAAGATTGTATGATTCAGCGGGGGGCCCAGTTCCACACTCAAGTTTGCTAAGCGGGTTCAAAGGGACTCTGGGTTATAAAAATAAATAAAATAAATAAAGCAAAAAAACACTTTATACAATTTTTCAAATACTAATCAATTGCTTCTCCTAAAAACATTTCAAGTACTTTTTACTCAATCCGTGCTTCCTGAAAAGGGAATCTATCCTCCCAAGTACTTCTCTCAAAAGTAATTCAAGTGCTTGCTTTCTTAATCTCAAAAAGCGCACCCAAATGCATTGTAACACGATGATTCCAATTTTCAATCTAGAACAAATTTCACATACCATTACAAGAAACACTACATGCACAGAGTAGTCATCCCAACTGTGTATCAAATGACATAACAACTAATTTATCCTAGACATTTCCCTTTCTAAATCATCGTGCCATCAACGCAATGATTCCATAATCAACCACCACATCAGCTACAACACAAAATTCAGATAATTACTTTATAATCGAAGCATTATCAAGTCATTAATTACTGCAGTTATAAACCCCCAAATTTTAGTATATCAAAAACCTAGGTTGATGAAATGAACTGAATTCAAACAAAAAAAAAACTATCTTAAAAAGAAATCAAATTAGAAAACATGAAAGCTCTCGCTCTCAATTATCAAGTTTACGCAATGAACAGAATAAAAACAAAATTCAGAAACTTACTATATAAGTGACGCATATCAAGCCATTATTTACTGCGCTTATAAACCTCTAAATCTCAATATGTCATAAACCTAGGTTGATGAATGAACTGAATTAAAAAAGATTATATATATATATCAAGAAATCAAATTATAAAACTATGAAAGCTTTTATACGCTCTCAACGACAACAATTAAGTTTACGCAATGAAAACCATAAAACAACCGAGAAATTGAATGAAACGTAAAGAGTTAACAATTGAAAAGGAGTTGAGAGCTTACTGAGAGGGAGGGCGTAGAGGAACAGAGGCGTAAGCGGAGGGCAATGGCGCTTCGTTCCGTTGTGGTGGTTGTTCTAGTTCTTCTTCTAAGCTCTCTTCGGGTAGTGAACTGAGATTCGACGAATCCATTGCTTGATCAGTTCAATTCACTTTTCGGTAGCTCTGAAATGGAGGAAAACGAAATTGGAGGGGACGATTGATTAATTTGATTTTAGGTGTGGGAGATTTATATCTTTAATTTTAGAGGGGTCTTTTCAAGAAATATATAACTATGTGGTACTTTACTAATCTCGCTGATGAATAATGGGAGATCTATTATATCTTTAATTTTAGAGGGGTCTTTTTTGGTGATATTTAACCATGTAGTATTTCTGTATTTCATCAACCTAGCCGTTGAATTACTTAGAAGGTCAAGAAATATTTAACTATGTAGTATTTTATCAACCTAGCCGTTGAATAACTTAGAAGGTCAAAAATACCCTTCCTACAATTTCTTCCTTTTCTCTCCAACTAATAAAATTATATAGAATTTGAATACAATTTTCTGTTTTATAAAATTAGAAATATAGTGAGTGTTTATATTTCATTGAATTATATTGAAATTATTAGTATTTTATCTTTTTGCATATGAATTTGGCTTAATTTTTACTTGGTATATATATTTTGTTAATCGTAGTGTAAATTTTGAAGTATTGAATTTCATCTTTTTCACTTGCAAAAACAAAATATGACAAAAATTAATTATCATAAAATAACATTACAAAAAATTAAATATTCATTTCTATTCCAAGAAACTAATTCTTGCAGGGATCTTTGTTCCCATTCAGGGATCCCCATCCTTATCCTCATATTGGTTGAATGGGGGATGAGGATGATGATCCCTGATTACCATCTCTAAATAGATATAACATAAAAGACAATAACAAATACATATCAAGATTAATAGGTATCACATAAAAAAATACATAATGACTTATCATGGTTCAATATAACCCATCTATGGAGGAGAGAGAAACCTACTAATAATTTCATTTTTATTTCGAAGATCTAGTTCTTGTGAGGATCTCCATTCCTATTCAAAGATCCCTATCCTTGTCCCCATATTGGTTAAATAAGGGATGGGAACGGGGATGAGGATGATGATCTCTACCCTGATTGTCATTCCAATTGAATATAATGTAAAAGACGATAATAAGTATACATCAAGATTAATAGGTATCATATACAAAAACACACGATGACTTATGGTGGTTCAATATAACCCACCTATGGAGGAGAGAGAAATCTACTAATAATATTAATACATACGCTAACGAGTATAAATACCATGAAACTTATCATCAACAAAATCATAAACATTCTCAATCTTGTTGCTTAATTTAAATCACTTTTCTTATATCATATAACATCTATCTTTTGTAATTCTTTTTTCGCTCGTAGCCTAAAATTGGTTTATGTAACCCATTTTTGACTCATAATTGAAAATGAATTATCACCGTTATATATTATATTTATAAATAATATTAATACATGTAGAGATAGTTTATTCTTAATGTTAATGGCTTTTCCACAACTAAATATTACCGGACAAAATATCTCAACAATCTTCACATTAACAAGTTTTCCTTCCAAGTAATGAATGTGATAAAGGTAACACTTCAACATCACGACATCTATATTGCAATGCAACCATCAAGATTATAAATTGAGGATCATTCCATCTACAATTTGAATCGTTATGGTCAATATCTTTAGTATTCCACCTCTCGGAAAAAAAAAAAAAAATTCATCTCCCAATTTAGAAAACTCTCATACTATCGATATAAGGCCACCCATAGGATAAATAATAAACATGCATCGAAATTAAAATGTATTACATCATACAACATGATAATTTAACATGGTATCAAAAGCCGATCATTGCTGATAATCTTTATTCGAGAAATAACTACAAATTGTCAATTTTGAATGGCATTTTTGCCTTTTGAAAAACTGATTTTGTTTTCACGGAAAAGACCCCTCTTTACCCTTTAATTTGCATATTTTATTTTATTTTAAATAATCTTGCTTGCTAATTAATCTAGCTAATCAACAATCAAGATAGACCAAAACACCCCTATTACACTTTCCTCATCATGTCCCTTTCGTCTTTTCGCTTTGTTCTTCGGCAATTTTGTTGCTTCCACTTTTAGCCGTTGTAATAAGCCTATTTGTGCTAATTTAATTTCCCCTTACCACATTCGCCTCTCTCTGGACTGGACTGGGCCGGGCCGGGCTTCTTAAAAAATACAGAAGGCCCAAAACTTAAAAGCCTTTTGCTTAAATACCCTTTTAGCCCTCTGAAGTCTGAACACTCGAATCTTTCGTCTCCAAAGTGAAAACGAAACAGACACAAAATATTACAAAGCAAAACAGAGAGAGACGACTAAGCGTACGACTGCTGGAGAAGAACCGACGGATCGGTTGGATGTGACGAAAATTCTACATCCATTTTGAAGCTGAAAAATCAGCAGAAAGGTAAGATTTTTCGATTTCTTTTTCTTCTATAATCCTTTTGTTTCGACGAAAATTTAAAGTATAGAAGCCATTTTAGCCGTTGTTAGAGTCGTGAGGTGTTGAATTGGGGTGGTTTTTCTTATAGTTTTCGCGAGTTCATATGTAGAAAAAGAAGGTTAAAAAAGGTAACTTTGGCAAGAACGACGTCGGTCTGGACCATAATGTTGGAGCTCGTGTGACCCTTTTGAGCAAAAGGGTGTAAAATGTAGAGGAAAGGGCTGAATTTGGGGAATTAGGGCGGTTTCACGGTTTTGTTGCTAGGCCTTTAGGGCAGGCTAGATTAGGCTGGAGGACATTTTGCTTGCTTGGTTGAGGGGAAGGATGGAATTTAGGAGATTATGGGAGTTGTTAGATAGGAGTGGCAGTTTATGATACAATTTATTGAGGAGAATGGTCGAATGTCGGAAGTTAGGACTGTTGTACAATGGTGTCAATAGACCATGTTCGTGTTGGATTGGTTGAGGAAAAGGGTAGGATTTAGGAAATTGGGATGGTTGTTAGATCGTGCTAGACTAGGCTTGAGGGTCATACGGGAGACGACAGTTGGATTGGTTGAGTAAGAAGGTAGAATATTGGAAATTATCTTATGTGCATGTGTTCATGAGATTTATGTGATTTGTTAGATAGGGGAAGGGTGGAATTTAGGAGATTATGGGAGTTGTTAGATAGGTGTGGCAATTTATGATACAACTGATTCAGGACAAGGGTTGAATTTCGGAAATTAGGACGGTTGCACAATGGTGTCGTTAGACCATGTTAGTCTAGGCTTGATGACCATTGTATTGGATTGGTTGGGGAAAACGGTAGAAGTTTAGGAAATTGGGATAGTTGTTCGACAGTGCTAGACTAGGCTGGAGGGTCACGGTCACGCTCACGCTAGAGATGACCATTTGATTGGTTGAGCAAGAAGGTAGAATTTTGGAAATTATCTTATTTGCATGTGTTTATGAGATATATATATATATATATATATATATATATATATGTGTATGGAAATTTGTTGGGTTTTTATATGCTTGTTGGTTGTAGGGACATGGAAGAAGTGAGAGTGTTGGTTAGGTTTGGTGGAAAGTGGGAAACTTCTGCTGGTGGGCGGTATGCATATAATGGTGGTAGGTTGAAAGGAATGAAAGTTACCAAGCATGTTGCATACAAAGATTTTGTGGAAGAATTATATCAGACTATTGAAGTGGATGCAAATGAATATGATTTAAAAATGGAAGTCTTATGGCGGTCAACTTCCATGCCCATTCCCCCAATGGAGATATCTAATGATAATGATCTTTGCTTTTTCCTGGATGGGGTCGTTGGGCCGGATGATGACTTTATTCCGCTGTGTATCACACTTGTTCCTAAGGCTTCTATACTTCCTGTAGTGAGGTCTCCAGTTCATCAAATATCGAATTGTTACACTCATTTTGTTTCGGGTAGTGGAAGTAATCAAATAGGTTCAATCACTTGTAGCCCAAACGAGCCAGAAGTAGAGACAAATCCATCATATGTTCCTGTAAAGACGCTTGAGGAAGAATTGCCCTTTTCACAGCCACAAATGTCAGAACCGACATTGTCTCAGCAACAAACCTTGGTCAAAAATGATGCAGCGCATAACACACAAGGCAATGCACATCAAGTTGATGGAACTGGAACTAATACCGTAGATGGTAATGCTATGATGGATGACAAGGGTGTTTTGGAAGGGACTAAGAAGGGGAATCAGGTGAAGGATAATGCTCCTGTGAAAAGTGTGAACGGTTTGCATCAGAATCTTCAGAATGCTATGCCTTCAAAGCGATTTTCTTATTTGCCTTATTTGCCAGAATGTGACGCTACCTCATTATCTGATGATGACGACGCATTATTAGTCGGGAAGACATTCTCATCCAAAAAGGAGCTGCAAAAGAATCTGGGCCTTCATGCAGTAAAGAACCACTATCAATTCAAAGTCAATAAATCATCCACAAAGCGTTTTGAGGCACTTTGTATAAATAAAAATTGCAAGTGGCGTGCCCGTGCAGTAAAACTTGCAGAGAGTGATGCTTTTGAGTTAAGGAGGTTGGATCAAAACCATTCATGTGCAACTCGGCAAGCAACCAACCATTCATATGAAACTCAGCAACCATCTGTACGCCATCGTCAAGCAACCAGTTGGTTTATAGGTGATTATGTCAAGGAGCGGCTGCAGGAGAAACAATATAATTATAACACAAAAGAAATCAGAGAGGACATACGAACTGATTTTGGAATCGAACTTTCTTACACTACATGTTCCAGGGCTAGGGCATCTGCCATCAAACAAATGAAAGAATCACTAGAAAATTCAAATGAAGTGTTTCCTTCTATAGATGAGAAACTCGGACAAAAAAAGCACGAGCTAAGCAGCAAAGCACAAAAAATGTGTGGTCGATGTGGCATCTATGGACACAATCGAAAATCATGTAAGAATCCAGTTCCTCCCCAACCCTCATGTGAAGGTAAAAGTTAGGCATGAACAACAAATCTGCATCATCTTTTTGCATAAAAATTTAACATATAATGTAGTTATGTTTAGATATGAAATCTAACTTATTGTGACACTGCAATGCATGTTATTTTATCAGATAAATTGTGGTTAGAGGCTATTGTACAAAATCCTATTAAACACTATGAATATTTCTAACCAATACTACTTCATCTGTTCTCATAAGATTAGCAATTGCAAATTGGGTGGTGGTTTGAGAAATTAGTCATGAGAAAGTCCTGGTACTGTAGCCGACCCTTTCATCGAATTACTAGGGCTAGGGTTATCGCTGATTCTTAACTATTGGATCATGGTTGAGTCTATCTGTGGTAATTAAAGATATGAGTTGAAATAATACACAATGTCTTTGGCACAATTGTGAAAATGAATCTGAATGTGAATTTTTTTTTAAATTAACTATCGATCGCTTGTTTATATTTGTTAGGGTAAAAGTTCAGATTTGTTGCTCGTTAATTTCGACTTACATTTTTTCTCAAGAAAACTCAATGAAAATGATTTGAGAGGTGGCAAATAAATGCATAGTTCAAAAATTGCTTTCACATTTTTATATAAGGAAATTATTACAAATAGTTTAAAAAAAAAAAATTTGGTTTTTTTTAATTTATATATATTCTAGTGGTTGGGGGGTCAATTTCAAGGTTTATTGAATATTTTACAAGTAATCAAGTAAGTTACAAAAGTGATAAGTGGTTGCTGGTCATCTGATGAGATTTGAATGCAAGATCTTGGGATAATTTAAGGTCTTGCCATCCGACCAGAGTTTTTTAGTTATTTTGTTTTAAATAATAACAAAAATTTTATGAAATCTTCATTAAGTTTAGTTTTAACTTTTAAGGAATAATCTAGGCAATTGAATACACATCCTTAGAATTAAAAGCATGTTTTGTTTTATTAAAAAAAAAAAAAAAAACAAACTGTGGATGATAATATAAGATGTTTAGAAATAAGAAATTAAAAATATTTTGTTAAAGAGCTTTAAAAAACTATTGATCTTGTCTCATTTTATTTGTTTGTATGACTAATTATATGACTTAATTGTAAAGAAAATATTATTGATTTTTGAATATTGTCTTAAAGAGCTTGCAAAAACATAGATATAAGCAAAAATCATTTATAATTGATCAGTTTTAAGTGCAATTAAATGAAACAAGGAAAATACAAAACGGTTATAGGTAATAAGATTTAAATATTAAACAATAACAAATATTATCAAAATCATCCTATATTATACTGCATTCAATAATATAATAATTGTATACTTAATATAATAAAAATATTGAGAAAAAGTCAAATTAATATTATGGCAACAAATATATAAATAAAATAAAGTAAAATGAGACAGTATATTTGATTACACAAAAAAAAAAAAGTCTATTTTAAGTCCAACAACCATAATTAAAACCAAACAAAAAAAAAAAATTAGTGAAAGTGAACAGAAACAATGAAAACAAAATATTAAAGTGAAAAAAAACAGTAGCAATGAAGAAAGCGAAAAAAAATTTATTAAAATTCGCCGTTGCCGGGGATCGAACCCGGGTCACCCGCGTGACAGGCGGGAATACTCACCACTATACTACAACGACTTGTTGACATGACAAATGTAGTTAATATTTTAATAATAATTATTGACCCCACGTTTTATCCTTTTTCCCCCTTAAAAGATGAATATATTTAAATCAATTAATTAATTAATTTTCTGTAGAAATTATAATTTTCTTTAAATGTAATTTCATTAGCTCTTAAGATTGCTATACACACCAATGATTTCCTCTTTTGTTAACTGATAAAGTGCAATATTGGTCTTTGCAATGATTTATCAATTGTTGAGAAATTTGATTACAAGTTTTTCATTATTCATCAAGCTTAAGGTCCATATTTGTTAATATAAATGATTTTTTTCAGTTGGGGATAACTTCACATTTTCTGCAACTACGCATCAACTCCTAAACATTAATTTAATATGAAGAGTAATACCACTTCACTGCCTCTTGTAAAAATCAGTTGATGTTGGAGGATGCTTTGGTTCATATCTACACGAAAAAGCGATCTGTATTCATTTGCCTCTTTGTGTCATCTCCTCGAAGCTTCTGTCCTTCCTCTCCTTGTCTAAATCGAGCTTCTGCTACAATTCCTTCTCCTTCCCATCTATCTGAACCATGAGAGCAGGCAAAGTCAACTATTTTAAGTAAAGGTTGGGAGATAAGATAAATCATGAAGAAGCATTAAAGAAAATATCTATCTTACTGCATCATAAATCTCATCATTCCTCTCAAAGTCGCCGCTTTTCCGTGGGAGAATATGGATGTGAACATGGGGCACTGACTGTTCCGCCTCAGGCCTATCCTTAGATACAAAAAACACAGAAAATAAGTTTATTCAGCCACAACAATACCAGGTTGGCAGATTGAATATGAACTCATGCACTGCACATGTTTCGTTCTAAGAAATATCGTGCAGTCAAATTGCCCCAACTTCTAAAGAGAAGGTGGTGCCTTCAATTTATAGTAAACACATCAACACATCAATTACTTGATGTTCTAAGTGATGAACACTAAATTGCAAATAGAAATTAACGATTCAGATTCAATTCAACAAAAAGTTATACGTATGTCCATTTATATAAGAAGATTGTCTAACATAAAAAGTTAACTGGAGAGCTAAAAAGACGCCTCACCATTTAGATATGTTGACAGAATACTAAGAAGATACAGCGGATTATAAAATTTTCTCTTCAATTAACCATCCCATAGTAAATGTGTAATTTATAGGCAATAGACGCAATACAAACAAGAACATGAAGAAAACAAATAAATAAATAAACACTCGATAGAAAAATATATCAAATGTGAGCAAATAAAACATAAGATCAAAGAAAACGATCAGCTTAAAGAGGTTCACAGCTATATGACTTTCATTAATGCCGTACTATGGAAGACATCTTGACAAATAGAAGCATCTAACACAAGACACAAGTAGCAACCATGAGAATAAGAATCCACCAGAGATTTGACTTACTTGAATAGTGATTGTGAGTGATGAATCTTTGTGGTAGCTTTCAAGTTATTTGCCAACCTTACTGTGCCGATAGCCATAAATCACTAGTTTCGTCAGCAGTGAGATCAAAAACACGTTTCACTACACGCTTTGGGACGACAAGCACATGTAAATATGTTAAGTCCACTGAGTATAACATACTTGCAAATGCAGAAGTGTGCATGTGCACCCAAACGCACACAAACACCGGAGCAAAATCATGCACAACCGCATAAAGAAGGTTAAACAGGTTTCCATTGTAGGTCAGATATCTGAGTCTAAATTATAGCATTTAAATATGTAACTTAGTCCTACAGTTCTGTAACCATCATGCTCAAAAAGTGCACATACATAAGCACCATTAGAAACTATATTCAAGGCTGTGGCACAAGTTCTACCTTAATTTACTGATAGATATAGAGTTATATACGCACTTCCAACTATCACTTATTTGGCAACTAGTAGTACTTGCACCAGCTTACTTTTTCCAATTATATTATCTGTAACAAAAATATATAATATATGTTACAGGCCTACTAAATGTCAAAGAAAAAAGATCATTTCTGATCTAGCCATGATATGCTTATAAGTCTACCAAAGCAGCAAACCAAAGTTTATACAAGGCTCCAATTAATATATCCACACCTGAGGGTACGGACTATCTTTTTTGTCTAACCTAACACACGGTAATGGGAGAATCCTACTGAGATATACATCCCACAATTACCTGCTCCTGTTTAGGCCTAGACCCAAGATTTTACTTTCGAATAGCCGCCAAAAAGACTTCACACTATTTGAGATAACTATATAAATACTCGTTTACTCAAATCAAGTAATGTGTAATGGCCTCTATCTCACTATGTGTTAGTAGGCCCGGATCTTGGGTGTTACATATACATTTTAAATATGCAAACTCAATAATTATTTCTAGCAATCAAACGCTTTCTTTCAAGTCATCATTGCTTGATTTATGTGAAAAACACAATAACATTCATCAAATTCCACTAAATGAAATTTAAAAGAAATAACACCATGATCATTCAAAAAAGGATGTGACCTGAAAAGAAAAATAGAGAAACCGATGCACATATAAAAGCAACCAGAGACATTTAAAGAAAGTAAATAAAATAGAATAAAGTACCAGGAACAACAGGGGTTCGGAAGAAAAGGAGGATCCGGACAAAATCGAGGAAACAGAAGAGATCCGAGTGAATGGAAAGGAAAAACAAAAAACAAAGCATAAATTCCACTTTCACTTTAAAGAAACATGCGATAGTTAACCATGGCAAACGAGAGATTGGTAGAACTTAAAAGCCTCCATCAACATCTGAGCTCAGTTCAACATTATCATTACCACCATTGTTTAATGTTAATCAAACAACTAGTTGATTAATTTACTTGCCTTGTTTGTGGAGATGAAACGGTTGTGTTTTGATAAGTGTGGAAAGTACCACCACCGGCTGCTGTGTGTGAATGCAATGGATTGTAGCAACACCTTTACCATTCACCTGCTTTCAATTGAGTCTCTTATTATAAGTACGAGAAAGATGAGAAATTCTAAAATTAATTCGGTTACTTCAAGATTAGCAAAACTTTGACAGTTGCAAAAAGGGCCTTGCTTAATTTTTTTTCTTATTAAATTCATACGTTCAGATATCTGAGATGCTTCAAACTACTAATTTAGTATGCATAAGAGTCAAAACGAGGAAAAACTTCATAGCTTGATTTGCATCAATTTTAAAGAAATTAATGGATATTATGCCTTTTAACTTGGATGGAAGTTTGAAAGTTGGTTTGTGATGTTTAATCTTTTCCACAATTTTGGAAAGAATCAATTTTAACAATAATTTCAAGTGTGTTTGGTAAATCATAATCTTAAGGTTGCTTTTGATTTCTAAACCCTTAATTTGCGAATTATTTTTATGTGTATAATGACTTAAAAAAAAAAATATATTACTCCTTAAAATATTTTCATAAAGTATATTTTAATATGTATTTTGTACTAATACAAAATATATTAGAATAATTTATATTAATTAAAATTTATTTAATCAAATATTTGGGGAAAAAAAAAAGGGGGCTAGTCGGCAACCAACTGCCGGAATCCGATAGCCAACCGCCTGAATTAACCTAACCCCACATTTATTTGA